GCCCGCTAAAGACTGGCTCGAGGGCGTCAATCGGGATTCCGATCTAGTAGGGGTTTCGCTAACCAAATCTTCACACTCCGTCGGGTGCTAGAACTACGCCACATGGCGCAAAATTCTAGTGTTCCTGAATTTCAAGGCACATTCGACTCGGTTGACCGACCTGTTCTTCTAACACGCTTACCCACCAAGGAATGTCCCTGATGATTGTGAAATTATTAAGCTCTCCCTATTGTTAGACTTCCGGATTTGTGATATTATACGGCCAGCTCTCCCAAAGCTTCCGTACACAAAGCGTTGTCCGTCACCGATTCCCACTGTCTTCATTCCTTTTTAACTTCGTGATCGATGAGATAATGAGACAAACGTTGGAAAGTCTCCGAAAACCTTGTGTTCAAATAGCCTGTGAGGCTAACCTTATCGATCTGAAGTATGCAGCCGATATCGTTCACCAAAACTCCTACACTAATGTGATTCGAAATTAATCGACAGATCTAGATGTTTTGCATTTGGATCTGTAGTCTCTGTTGATCGAGTGAAATCAGTACATAAATTGACAGCATCTTCGGTTGGACCGTGGCGTTTTATTTCACGTCAGAATACATGCTATCCTACGGATTGCAGCAGGGCATATAAACCCACCACCAGATCAATGAGCCTAACTTCGCTGGGACAGGCTATGCATGGAAACGCTGGAGAGATTTTTGAAGAAAACAAGTAGATATTAAAAGCTGCTGGAAGTGGTACTGATTGTTTGAAGGAAAGCAGTTTAAATTTTTTTTGGAATGGACTCACTAGGTATAATCAACGAGCGGATTAGGTTTATCTTCTCAAAACTGCACCTTAATCTTTCTTGGTTTGTTGTTACATATAAGGGTTAGGTTTAAGTGATTCAGCTTTAAAGACGCTTCACGAGTATGATAATCTCACAGATGCAGCTAGCTTAAACTGATACATCTCTCTGTAAGCTGATATGTAATGGGCGAATACGTTCGTAGTACCAATTAGCTGGTGATGGTGCATTTCATTTTCGTTGTCACTAAAACGTTCTCGCACTTCTGGACAAGTTCCGTCCGTAAAAACCAGTGGGACAATTTACTTATTCATCCAAACCAAGCGTAATTACTTAAAACAACACGAGGTTTCCGTGCCAGAGCGGCGTTGCAATGTGCTACTTAGTTGGTGATGTACCGGAATGGAGACTTTATTACCAAAAGAGCGTGAAACAAAGTACTTGATGTTTTCAAGTTATAGGAATAAGCCATCCTTATGATATTTTGAATGAGAATATTCCTGCTTATGCCTCCCTTGAGGGTGGTTCATTAGGGCTTGTTCACGCACACTGCATTCGCCCCATGAAACTAACATGGGATCATTATAGGGATTTATGCTGTTTGTAAAACCATTTATTCAGATCATACCAATTTTAATCGAACTAAAAATGCGCGAGTAAAGAAGCTAACAAACCAGCAAAACTGTTTCCACAACGAACCAACAATTTTTCGATTAGGGTTTTCATGTCCTTAAAGATTGGAACATATCATGTGAAGTAAGCAATTTCATTTGCCGAATCCCACGCGATGCCTAAAAAAACCAACAAGAACCTCTGGAAAGTATTGTCTTTAGAGAATACAGTATCCAAAACCACAATGTCAAATGACATAGAATGCTTGTTTGTAGCAGAATATGAAACATCAATGCAGTATTATTTTATCACAATTTATTTCAAGCCACATGGTCCGCATACTTTCGCCAGTCAGTCCCCATATATATGCGTGCAAGCCTTGTTAAGCAGCACATTCTGCTTTCGGTTGAATAAGAGGGGAACACATTTACGACTATTGCCACATGGTCACAATATGTGACCAGTCGTTCTAGTAGCATGTTGCCACTTTGATCACACATGTGTGGGACGCATCGCAGTGACTAAAATGCGCGTTATAATGACTCGGCCGAGATAATCAATTACTTAATTGGACGTTCCTTGGAGGTCGAATGCAAAAAACAAATGGCGGTGTGAACAGCAGTCAAATTACTCCGAGTTAGCATGATAACCCACTTTGAAGCGATTGGCATAACCAGATGCTGGAGTCCAAACGACTTCATCTTGGTCTAAATTGAGTTGTTTAAACTAACAAATGCACGCTTTACTGGCAATGCAGAGGCCAAGAGTTGCGAGTCCCAGGCTGCGAATAATGCCTAAAGCTATATGCCCCTAGTGTAAGCAAAACTCAGGTTCAGTATTTATCAATTCGTTTGTTAGATATCTAGGACAAAAAAAACGTCCAGGAAACCGTGAGGTGAAAGAAAATTATACAAACCTTGCATTGATTTGGTGGTCTTCGTAATGATAATTTAGGCTCTGATAAATGATTATTTGAGAAATTATTTACGAATGTCCTTATCTGAATTTTGCCAGCAGGGAAGTAAATTCATCAGATTAGACCTGGTAGATAATTACGCGAGAAAGGTAAAAATTATCAGAGTATATATTTTAGCAGGGCGTAGTTTTCCCACCCATCCGCTACTTACCACCATGAAGAGGACTATCAGTGTTTTGCGCTGAGCTGGTCAATAATAATAAGTCAATAGTAATAAGCTGGTCAATTCCTAGCCAGAGATGTACTCATCCATGTGAACGCAATTTATGATAGATAAAGTGGATTAACTCAAACTAATCTTCAATTTACTGCCATGTGAAACGAGTGCTTGAGCTTTATTTTGATCCCTATGTAGTGGGGTAGGGAAAACGAAGGGGTCATTCTTCAAAAAAACTTCTTGGGTAAGACTGCTGCATACAAATTTTCATACGTTAAAGTGAAATCTGTGTACATTCAGGTCGGATCAAAACTTTGTGCATCCGGACTGATGTGCTACATTCGCACAATCTGTTTGCCTTTCCAGCCTCGAGTTCACTTTACCAGATATGGAATGTGGGTTCCGGGGTATGCAAGCTGGTCTACATATCCGACCAATCCAACTCACACGCAATTTTTTGATATTTCATTTCGGTCATCTCTTTTATCCCAGGCCGGTGCTATTTGATCAATTAACGCAACTTCTTCTTGTAAAATTAATCCATATTTTCCCCTCCCCTGAATGGCTTCCATTCAATGGCTCATCTTAAATTTCCACCAGTGACGAAGAATGATATGCAGAAAATAGAATTACTGGCTCAGAAACTGATAAAGTCAGACAATGAAGTGCGTTTGTGTTGATAAGTGCTTTCCAGTTTTGCGGGAACTTTTATTTCAGTCGCTAGTGTAAAATCGTTTGTTACGGAGGCTTGTCACGGACAGGGAGAGCACTGAACTATAAAAATGATGTGTGGAGCAGTTTTGCTAATATACGTTGGGCCGGAAACCAGAATTCAATTTGTAGTTGTAAAGATATTATCTCAATTAATTTGGTGACGAGACTGACATCTAAATTTTTTTACTCATTCTTGTTGCCCACTGTGTACCAAGAAAATGAGCAAAGTTTCATCGAGATGTGATGAGAATTAAAGTCTTCTACATAGGAAGTCCGGTCATTTTGTAAAGCTCTATGGACTTTTGCAAATCATAACATAAATATATTATGCTACACCTCTATTTTAACCACATTTTACCATGTAATGTCGCTTTACTATCTGATAACAGTGGAATGTTCGCATCACAGTGGTCTCCAAATTACAACAATCCAAATTTTGATCGCAGATATCAGCCATTCTCTTAAAATCTCCAAATCTACGCCACTCTTTTGTTTTGAACAGTTCTCGTTGGGTTTTGGAGCAGTCCATACTAAGGAGAGGAAGCACTGGCTTTGAGTTTCGAATCATCAGTGAATGTTCTAGGACGCGTCGGGATCCTGACATGTGAAGTGGACGTGTAATCTCTACTCCCCCAGCGCACGCTGAAGGCATCTGAATTATCTCGTATGAACATATGAAAGTGTTAACGCCTGAGCAATTTGATTAATTTGCCCGACTACTTAAATGATCGACGCGGAAAATATTCTGCGCGTGTTGATCGATTGATCCGCTTGTCAGGAATCCCCAGTCAGGTAGTGATACGGATGCTTGAAACTCGCTAGACACCGTTCATCTGAATGCTGTGCGGTGTGAAAGTATTAGAAAATTAGCTTCAGATTACCGTGTTGATTAAGCTTTTGTTGGACTACCAATAGCCCCGCTATTGGTAGTCTTAAAGTCTTCCATCCGTACTAAGAATCATGAGGTGGACGCCATATATCAGCTTGAACCCTCTCGCAAAATATTTGGTTCTTCGTTTTTCGTCTCCACTAGATGGGCTCCGACGAGAAGTAGGTTCATGGAAGGCCTCCGCTTTAAGGATATTAGTATCCTTATTACTAAATGCGCTTTGGATCGGACAAATTTCACTAAAATATTTCTAATCAACAGCTATGTATTTTTGTTGAAAAGGTCATAGGGTGCGCTATACAATGTGTCTGAACAAGATTAATGTGCACAGTTTAACCATGTATACTTGTTCGTATGGTGATGATGGAATCTTCGACGCTTGAGTCAATGTGCCTTGACATAGTTTGTTTGATTCTTCCAGGAAAACTATGATGAAGATGGATGCATTATTCAGTGAAAATGCATTCCGGTTCATTTATCTATTCTGCACACTGATGTTCATGCGAACCAGCACGGCAACTTTTTACCACGCAACACGGAATCCATATGAAGAACTAAATGTATACTGCAAGGGCCTTTTTCTGTTCACGTAAATATCTATCTTCTTTCTAATTTTGGGAGCATGCAAACACAAAAGTTACAATAATGTACTGAAACCTTAACTGACTTTACATCCCACTGCACATTCTCGTGACTTTGATGGAACCGTGTTTTTAATACAAACTAATTCTTGTGGTTACTCATGTAGGACCCTCCATTGCAAACCAACACAAGCAAAGAAATTCATGGGTTACTCAACCAAGACTTCATAAGTCCTAAATAGTATGCTGTGACCTGTTTCTTCTGTAAAGTTTGCACTTACCTGAACCATGAAAAATGGCAGCCAACAGAGACAAAAGCATCCCATTATAATTCCTAGTGTCTTAATAACCTTGGTTTCCGAGCTGTTCTTGGATCTTCTCCGAACCAAATCCGGGTTGGAAGGTGATTTCCAGAATGACGCTCTTGTATGAGATTCATCCTCAGAAAAGGTCACTGTGTTTGCCGTTTGACGTCGAATTCTATCCTCCTCTGACTTGCCATTTGTCAGTGGACGTAGGCCTGTTGTATCAACCGGTCCCGGATTACTTCCACTAGTAACACTATTCACAAATGCATCGTTATCGCATTTTTCTGAAGAAGATTCGACTTGCCTAGGCAAACAGGTCCGTGAATTCAAATCATTCGGGTCAACCGCTGTCTGCGATGTTTGGTGCTGTAGATTATTTTGCGTGTAAGGCATCATCTGCCGTTGCTCGTTACGAGACATTTCTCTGGCTAGTTTGAAAATTTTCCCATACAAGACAAGCATGACTAGTAGTGGAAGGTAAAATGCACAAAACGTGGCATATATCTGATAGCCGACGTCCTCACTGTATTCACATCTGCCTTCTTGGAAAGGGGACTTCCATCCAATATTTGGTGGGATGCAGATGAGAGCTGAAATAATCCATGTGGCAGCAATCATCTGTGCCATCCGACACGGAGTCCTTTTACTCACATAGGTCAGTGGTCTGGTTATCACTAAGTATCGGTCAATAGAGATTGCACACAGGTTCAAAATGGACGCGGTACACAAAAGTACATCAAATGAGATGTACATATCACAGAGCGGTTCATTAAATGGCCAGTATCCTTTCAAGAGATCAAGAATGGCGAAGGGTAATACCAGTAAACCGACAAAGAAATCGCTAAACGCCAAGCTAACAATAAGAATGTTGCTTGGGGTTTGCAACTTTTTCACCAAGGTGACTGCCAAAATCACAAGAAAATTTCCTCCTATCGTTGCAACCGCAATTAATGGTAAAATAATTGACAGTATAGCAGAGATAGCCGGAGAATATGCGGTCATGTCATGTGTAATGTTGCCGTGTCCGAAGTTTTGATCGTTTTCGTTCCCATATAGCCGTTGCATGCGGTCGATTGGGTGACTGCGAATGAATTGATCCGGTTCGCCATCCGAGATGACTGTTATCAGTTTATCAGCCCTTAATGATAAAATGAACTGCGACAAAATAATGATGGCAGCAGAAATCATTGCAACGGTTTCATCTGTCACCTTCAGTGGATTCAAAACGTAAGGCCAAGTTCCATAAGCACAACCAACATCCAACAGCTCAATAATGTACGAAGCCTTGCATTGCTGAATTTCCACAAGCTGTACACTGGGCTGGTCCTGCAAATCATACACCTCAAAATGACATTTTGCCAGAGAAAATTTCTTGTTCTAGACTAGTGTTTTTTCTGCTGTCACACATAGGACGAGCAAACGTCTGCCAACCCCAGTCAGGCGCGTACACACATCAGGGTTCACATACGCGAGTATGAACACTGCCGTACGCCGACGATAAACCCGGTGGCATGCAACAGTAGGTGTTTAAGTAGAGAATGACAGCCATCTAGACGCTGGTCTGTCTGAAGCCCCAGATATAGAGCTCATTTGGCTTGGCGCATCCACCTGAGTGCTTGTGCACACGTGCGTTCGTATTTGTCGCAGAGGAGTAAGTAAACCCACAAACCAGAAAAATTGCATTGGTTAGTTTCCTGAACGTCAGCTTGTAGGATCGTTGATGTCACAGTTTACGTCTGTATGCGTGTATATGTGTGTATGGGTGTGGTAAGTTGGATCGCACGTAATCACAAACTGTCCGATGCATTGTGGGTGTGCATATATGCCTGGTACTTCCGTCACCGGTTCGCCACGGGAAAAGTTTCATTTTGCTATAGTGATTTGCAGCTCATTTGGTTGTGCTGAACGGGCAAAAGTTCCTTCGTCGTTTCGTGTATGTCAAAACTCTGGATAAAATATGGCGGATTGGTTTTTGGTTAATCAGTCCTCTACAGTATGACTTCACTGTCTACGATTGGAACGACAGTATGAAACTAACGCACAAATGTTGACGAATTGTACGTGGATTTGGGTCTGTCCCAGATATTCCATGAACATATTTTATTAAGACGCGTTTAAATTTTAGTAATATTTATATAGGGGTCCTTGAATTTGAAGCACGGGAGTGGTAACGCTACATATAATTTTAGAAACTCTCTCGCACTTGAGCTGCTTTGTACAGGGTTGAAGCAACAAGAAGATAACAAGTAAAAACATCTGAAAATTCCTTCACCCACACCGAAGTCCCCCATTCATTTTGTGGCATTTATCTCGTGTAAGCCACTATAAATTGTTGATGTTACGTTCAAGTAGACAAATGACGACGGAACAGAACACGAACGAGCAACCAGCCAAATGAACGAGTAAATAAGACTTCATACGCGAGTCTGGTTAAATCACGGGACCTTACTTTTCAGAATTTCCTTGTGATATCTTGATAGTTTGTTTAACGCCAATTCTTAACCCCAAACAACGTTACTATTATAGTCCCACTGAATTTATCGTTTAGAGGCGTGTTTATATCCTTGGAACATGGTATCGGCAAAAGAAATTGTGATGCCTCACTGAGCGACTTATAGTCGCTTAGCCTACAAAGAGTAATTGACTGTGCAACCAAGATGCAAAGAACCCACCGTCAATTCCATCCTCGCACACCAAGAATGGTAAACTGAAACGCTTTTACAACCACATCTGTTACTATGCACCGCATTAGTCTATGCCAGTTCACCTGACGACCAGTTCTGTTTTCAAAGCAACGGAAAATCGGTTGTGGTGGTCCAAGCTGGGCGTATACAAAATACATTTTGAAAATACATTTGTTGGATAGTTTAGACGATTTTCACATGGAATGAGTGAAAAAAGGGGAATTTGAATATTTTTAACCATCACACTAATTACGCGCCATGAATTGTAGTCGGTAGGCAAAACGAATCGCAGTTGCATACAAAGATTGAAACAGCGGCTGGATTATTCATTTGGCTGGCTAAAACGTACGGATATGTTCATATTGCCGCAACAAAGGTCACTCACTCGCGAATTTCGGGCTGGCTGCAGAATATGCCAGTTTCTATTGGTTTGTTATTCTTAGCTTCTTACACATAGCGTTTGTCGGCAGCTTCAAAATGAGCATCCAGGTTGATGTTAACGTGAAGATATTTGGTAACTTTCAGCTGGTAAATCGTCTTGTCAGTAAAATATGTATACACTTAAAAGCCCAGGAGCACTGCGCGGCTGTTTCATTCCTAAATGAAACTCCAGGGTGTCTCAAACGCTGAAACCTAGCCAGCATTTTGCTCACAGCTGGTTGGCCACAGGATATAGTGCCATAGATCCTTCAATCCAGAAAATCCCATCGGCCATTAATCTGGTTACTCGTTCCTAAGTGGCAACCACTCACATGGGATATTCACTTATAATATAATAATATATTATAATAATATAATATAATACATATAAGAATATAATATAATATAAACTCGAATAAGTAGACCTTCAAACGTGATGATTCAGGCCCTTCCATCGTATAGTGATAATAAATTTATGGCAGGCTTACTTCGTCCATCAAACATTAGGAGTATCAATCCAGATATGCTGAAAGCAGTGTATGTGTAGTAGTGTACCTAAATTCCATCCACTGTAATACAGATAAAACCTGAGTAACCATCAAAGAAAAATATGTGCTTTTTCAGCAGGGCCGACGCAGGACACCGACGTATTAGTTCGGCCAAAATATGCAGCTTTTTTTACCACAATTTTAATCACCGACCTAACATTTGTGTTTCCTTTTCACATAAATGCGTAAACATTCAAGCGAGTTCAAATACCTCATGCCAACAATTCACTCATTTGGGTGAAATATTTTGTGTGCTTACAAGGGCTCCACTGTTGATCAGTGGGTTTCACAGGCATATTGTCAATGACCATTCAAAGCTGAAAACGGAATGACTTTCTATTTTGAGCTTCCTAAAGTCTAACTTCTGCACGTTTCAAAAAACCCTTTTGCTTCATATTTGCGTCACTAAGAATGCTACCAGCCCATTCCGACATTCCACTGTTTGACAGTGTCTTTCCTGGGATTACGTGCATACCACTGCACCGAATGTTGTCAGGCATCGGCGATGTGATTTCAAGGTATCTTGTCTAAGAATAGAGCACAACGCCCAAAGGTAACTAGGTGGTTATTGTTTTTTTATTTGAGAAATATTATCTCAGCAGAAAACACCAAGTTGTCGGATATTTTCTCCGTCGATTTTCCCTGACTAGATAGATTGACACAATAGATTGCCGTGGTCAGTCCTGGACTAGTAAAAGCAATTGCTTAGGGCTATCTTGAATGAGGCCCAGTACATACACAAACATTCAAAAGTTTCGTCATTCAAACGATTTAGAAATCACCACTTCATTTGGTCACCTAACCCACCATGCGACACTCTGAAGTAGAGACACTTCACCCTCCCCCGAGGGATGTTTCTTACATGTAGGAGCGAATCAGTTTGCCAAGCCATTATCTCGAAATTCTAGCTAGCAGCATTCTATCCATTTTTCGAGTGCATTGAACAGGCTTCCGCTATTTGGCCCGTAAAATGGTGGCATGCGCGAAAAGTCAGTCAAGCCTATGTCGTTAGATTTAAAGGTAGCCTTCTATAGTACCGGGAATGTTGTCCCCTTTTTGAAGCCATTTCAAGGGTTCCAACACAATACTAATAATAGGAAAACACATGTCATGGGACAGAGATAATGATTACTAACTTTATTCAAGTTTGTGCTAAAACGTGCCATGGAGACCACATGTGCAATGTTTACTTTTTCCGAAATTTCTAAGCCAAATAAAAGGATGTGTAAATCATGTGTTGTTATCCCATTGTTTTGGTGAAGTAAATCAAATGGTTGACCTTACACAGCACATTCATCTCAGCGTCCCTATAAACACTTGAACTTCTTACCACAGGTTTTAATGTTTCAGAAGTTCGTGATTTCGTCGTAGTTCTTGAAGTGTTATTTTCCTGATGTTCTACCTGAATGGATGTTAAATGATTGACAAAGTGCCATTCCTATACTATACTTATAGACTATGGACTATACTTTTGCTAACTAGAATCACAAATAGATGTTCCATTTATAGCATCCAGGAAACGTTTGCACGGTATGCTAATTCACGAAAAATATGCCTAATAAAACATGGAGAGATCTTCTTCTAGCATGTCGGGTTGAATGACTCAAACAACCAAAGTTTATGTTGCGCGTCAGGTTAACACAAATGGAGTGTTTTGCCAGTGTTTTCTTATGTTTTAAAATGCATTCTTTCACTCCACATTGCGGAGCACTATTATCATACTTGACATTCATCTCTCGAAATATTATCATTACTTCTTCGTGTGAAATTTCCTCACTCTGTATGCCCATGTCACCACTGAATTGAATAAGCTATCTTTAAGGAAGTTTCCGTTCTTTCAACTTAGACACAAATGGTAACGATGGTGCCCTCTAAAAACAAACACTACCAGGTACACAAAACCACAGCGTGATGTGAATCGTGACCGTTGTTGGCTTGAAGACAAATGCACACCATTTATCTTCGTCGGAAAATTTGCGTGCACCCTATAGCAATTGGCATCCTTGGCATGTGGCGCAAAGCATTTTTAACCAAACCTCAAGTGCCACTAGCCAACGGAATTTCCACTACTAAACAGAACGAGCTTACTGAGGTATGTCAAATTTTAGGCATATTTTCTAGTCTGTTTTGATAAGGTCAGGCCCAGTTGTATTGGGAGAAGCTTTGGGGGTTACTCTTAATTATCTGGAGACAAAACGGAAAAGCAGTTGAAATACGGTTCTTGAGCATACTGCTTCACCCTGCCAGTAAAGACGGTATAATGAACCATCTCGATCAATAGCCAGACACATCCCATATTGACAGCCCAGCTCGAGGGACTGACGTTGATCACTGGTTTGTTCAATTTACTGCAAACCCCAGTGTTTATTCACCAGCTTACATATGTTTTCGCACCAACAGCCTTGCATGCTACGCATCTAAATACTGAAGCAAATCGATCCGTAGGAAGCGTCCGTTAGCTACTGATTGATTGTCCGTGTATATTTAATGAGTACAATTAATAAGATTCTGCGCGCGATTGACACAAGACCAATGATATGGGGATACGAAGTGGTTTAAATCGGTGTGTGACATGCCCCGAAAAACCGACTCGCGCCGTCATGGAAAACCCGTTCAAAATGGGTTTGCGGAAATGAGTTAATTTTGGTTCATCTACACGCCATCCATTTTGGATAACGTCACTGAGAAAAAACTCAAGTTAACCACAACCTCATTAAGTATAAAATGTGCTGCTTTTCTTTTTAGTCGCTACTAACAGAAAAGTAGATGTTGCTTCTGG